TCACTCCCCCCCTTCGCTCGCCGCCGACAGGAGGCATTGGCGGCCCCCCCACACAGTCGAGTTCCTGTGGGAGAGAACACGCGAGAGGGCACAAGACTTAGGTTGGGCATGTGCTCCGAAAGGCGGATTTTCGGGGAAAACTGAAACATGTTCAAAACAAATAAACAACTAATCAAACAAATGCTACAAAAATCGTCGCTATAAGTTATTTTGCGTATTGTTGCATATTCCTCCTGTAGAGGGACATGCCCGACTGAACACGAGACCCCTCCGAGGGTCACGCTGCCGCAAGCGTTCAGAGGACACGAGACGCCGTGCAACGGACACAAAAGGTGTGTGTATATATACACAAATATGTATGTATATATATATATGTATACCCTTGATGTGGCAGGGCCAACCTGCTAATCAACCCCCTACACTGACCTTCCAGGAGGGCTAAAAATAGCACCAGGGGCCTCGACATCTAAATTCCTGTCGAGGTTTTAGGCAGTCAAGGTAGGTCTATAAGTCTGGAGGGCTGTTTTCTAACACTCAGGGTAGATTGGGTCCCCGGAGGAGTAGATCGATGGGGTTGGATAATTTCGCCGCATCGCCACTGCATCGGCGACGTCAGCGATACATCGGCGACGTCTGCTTGGAGAAAAACCAGACCACCGACGTCATGATTTTTTCATGACGCGACCCCCAGAGGTCTGGACCCCTTCCCTGGGACCGGTTTTTCATCCCGAGTCGTTTTTTGACGGTCCCGAGGCCCAGTAAGGGCCCCCGGGGGCCGAAAATGTTGAAAAACCTCCCGTCGTGATTTTTTCACGACCCGAGGGGGTATGGGAATCTGGCTCCACATCGCCGATGCATCGGCGACGAGGCGCAATCCTCCTGCGGAAAGCAGACGGTACCGATACCGCTGCTCCCGGGGTGCGTCCTGACCAGGACTTCGAGGCGAACGCGGCCGTGGCCACGAGGGCCTCCCATGGAGGCCCACTCAGGGGAGCACTATAGGGACCCAGACCCCCGACGTCGTGATTTTTTCACGACGCGACCCCCAGATCGGGAGCGGCCAAGAGGGGGGTGTCCAAGAGGGGGGGGTGCAAATCATGACCGGCGGCATGTGCGCGGCCCAGCGGGGGGGCCTGGGACGTAATAGAATAAGAAGAGGCGCCATGAAATCTGCGGAAAAATCATGGCCCGCGCCATGAAATCCACCCCCCCCCTAGTCATCACCCCCTCTTTTCCGCTCCCGACCAGAGGTCTGGACCCCTTCCCCGGGACCGGTTTTTGATCCTGAGGCGTTTTTTGACGGCCCCGAGGCCCGGCGAGGGCCTCTGGAGGTCGAGAATTACGAAACACCTGCGTCTTGACTTTTTCAATGCGTTGGATCTCTGGGGAAGGGTAGCGAATTCGGTACCTCCCCCTCCCCCGACACCCGGGCCCCCTCCGGGAGGCCCCGATAAGCGGTGACCCCCTGCAGGGCGCGGCCCGAGAAGAAGGCCCCGCCGGCGAGCGGGCGGCCACCCCGCGCCGGGAAGACGTGGCGCCACCACCACGCGGCGGGGGGGCTCTCGTGCACCGGGCGGCCGCCGCAGCTCGTCTCGCGCACCCCGGGCGGCGCAGCCCCAGGAGGGACGGCGGGGGGGGAGCGGTCGACGGCCACGGGCAGGGAGGAGCTCGAGGGCCCCAGGCCGCCTCGCGTCGTGAATTCGTCTGCTTCGCTATGGCTGCGGCCCGGAGGGGGCCCTCACCGGGCCCCCCTCGGGCCTCGCGGGGCGAAGGACCAGTCCTGTGTCCGTAAAGTTCCTTGAGTTTTTGTGGTCGCGTTTTTTTTTTCGTTTGATTCAAGTCACTGCTCAAGAATATGATTCGAGTGCTTTTCGTTTGCGAACCTAGTGTAGTTTCTAAGTTTGATTGGCGGAGCTTCAGTAATCGATAGATCGAGGAGGAATTATTTCCCTCTCGTGTTTGAGCCAACATGATTGCGGCAGTAAAGGACGGTACCCCTGGGGGTCGACGCTACGAACAAATGATGACGCCGGGGTTCTGGGGCAGGGGGGGGGCGGCCGGCTCAGCTGGGATCACGGCGGCGTTGGCTTCAGGGAGGCAGGGGGCACACGTGGATGCTGAGGTGGGTTCTCTATGCTAGCGTCGGCTGGTTCGCTTCAGTGCCCTGAGTGGCTTGGGTGGGTCGATCGCTCAGCTGAGTGGGCGCAGCCCGCTTGGCCCAGATCTTGGCTCGCTCAGCCACTTCGGGCAATTCTGACCCTCTTTGAAGTTAGGTCAGGCCATGAATTAGCCACCTTAGCATGCACTTATACCCACCCAATCCTCTTACCCCCCCCCCCGCGGCGATCCAAGAGGGAGGGGAAACATCGAGCTGGAATCGGCGATACATCGCCGATAGGTCGGCGATACGCCCCTGAAAGCGAATGCGCACGTTCAGGCCCAGGACGGGGCGGGCGTGGTGGGGGGAATCGGCCTGCCACACGAGGCGCCAGTGAGACAGCGGCAGATGGCCTTCGGGAGGGCCCCTCGTCGCAACGTCTGGACGCAGCTCGGAAGCGGGAGGGGTCTGGGCCCGATTCTGAGCTGCTGCTGTCGCCACGAGACCTGCGCCGACAAGCGGGCCCTGAGGCAGACGGACCATGGGGGGGTACTGGCAAGAGGCTGCCGAAGAACGGGGAAGCAGAGGACTCGGTTGCGGGGGACTCAGGTTGGCCTGACAGGGCCATCATGAGAATGTCGAGACCCAGTCTGAAATTTCACGCGAGCTCCCGCTGCAAATATCCCTCGAGAACTGGACCGCCAACAAACATCCAGGACGCGCGCGTCAACAAGCGTCGACAGACCCGAGTTCCGGCGTGCTCGAGTCATTACTGAAGGGGCCCTGGGACACACAAAGAAAAGGATTCCCCATATGTTCTTACATTTTCCGGGTTTTCGTCTCCCCCCCCCACTTCCCATAGTTTCCTTTATTCTCCGGGGCATCGACGATGCATTGTGTCACAATTGTGTCTGTGTGTGATTTTTTTCCCCCCTCCTGAATTACGTTTCACCACTGGGCGGAGGAACGCCCTTTGGCAGCCAGATGCGAACCCTACCGCTACCCCCCACGATTTCTGAGGGGGAGGGCGGGGTTCACTTCGTTCGGGAGCTCCCGGGGGAGGGGCTGGGCGCGGCGGGGGGGGGTAGGAGGCAACTACTGGGAGGTCTTCGTCGGAAACATTCAGGAGGATTGTTGCGCCAGAGTGGGCCTCGGACTAAGCAGGATTCAGTCAGATTCAGCGGGATGAAGCCAGATTAAGCGGGATTAAGCTGGATTAAGCCGGATGTCGGACCGGGGCGAAAACGGAATTTGACCTCTCAGGAATTGCATCCGAAGTGGGGGGGCGTCGGCGCCGGCGGAAGTATCGCCCGCAGGCGCCCCAGGGTGCGTCGCGGATGTGTGGAAACACACAGATGCCGACGCCTCCACTACTCTCGAGCGTTTTCTTCTTGTTTCGGGAGGCCGTCGTCACCCAGGGGTTGGGCGTGTGTGTGTGTGTGTGTGTGTGTATGTGTGTGTATGCGTGTATGTGTGTATGCGTGTTTGTGTGTGAGAGAGTGTGTGTGTGTGCTGGGCCCAGGGTAAGGGTAACGCCTGGGCGGGATGGGGCACGTCGGGGCGGGGGTGCGCTCTGATCGCCAAGGTACGCGCGCAAGCATCAGCACGTGGGCGGGAGGCCCAAGCCACCCCCGTGCGTACGATCGTTGCCGTCACCAGCCTGGGGGGTCGGAGGGGTGTGGCGTGGGCAACTGAAGGGGCCCTGGGACACACACACACACAAACACACACACACAAACACACACACACACACAACACACACAACACACACAACACACACACAACACACACACAACACACACAACACACACACACACAACACACACACAAACACACACACACACATACATATATATATATATACATATATATATATATGTATATATATATTAAATACACACAAATAACCGGATTCCTCATATTTCCCAATATTTTCAAGGGTTTCTGTTTTTCCCCCACTTCCCATATTTTCCCATATCTTCTGGGAATCGACGATTCCTTGTGTCTGTGTGTTTTCATCCCCTCCTCAAGCGACGACCGGTGCGCGCCAGAGGACAGAGAGCGCTCTCCTCCTGGGGCCGGCCGGTCCTCACCAGGATGTCGGCGCGACTCTGGCCGTGGCGACGCAGGGCCCCCCCGCGAGACCCCCAAGGAGACGAGCGCGAGGGACGAGCCGCGGCAGCGGCATCTCTCCCCGGGCGTGCGGCAGTCCAATTTTTGTTCGAGGCGCGCTCCCCGGAAGGCCCGGCCCCTCTCCCTGGGGCTGGCGCTTCCTCCCGAGTCCTTTTTCACGGTCCAGGGGTATGGCGGGGGCCCGCAAAGACACACACACACACACACACCCTGGGGCTGGCGTCTCCTCCCGAGTCGTCTTTGACGGTCCAGGGGTATGGCGGGGGCCCACAAAGACACACACACACACACACCCTGGGGCTGGCGTCTCCTCCCGAGTCGTCTTTGACGGTCCAGGGGTATGGCGGGGGCCCACAAAGACACACACACACACACACCCTGGGGCTGGCGTCTCCTCCCGAGTCGTCTTTGACGGTCCAGGGGTATGGCGGGGGCCCACAAAGACACACACACACTTGGATTTTTCTTATATTTCTGTATATTTTCAAGAAAGCAGACGTGTAAATTGTGCGTGTGTTGTGTGTGTCAATGAGCTGGAAATCTGACTTCTCGGGTCATGACTCGGCCGTGAGGGACGATCCGGGCTCCCCCGCAACGCCCTCAGGGAGGCGCACCTGCATGTTGGAACGCATCCGAGGTTGCAAACCTGCCGAGAACCGACGGACACGCCCGAAAACCTCTCGACCGTCGAACCTTCGATCCCCTAACCGTGGCCTTCCGACCCCCCCCCGGAAGAAGGCCCACAGCTTGCGGCCGCGGAGCAGCAGGCTCACCTGGGAGGGGGAAATAAAAAAGAGGGGGGCATGACCAAGACTAGGGGAACAAAAAGTGGCATAGACATAAACTCTCGGAGGTCCGCGCGGATTTCTCGGATCGGCGCTGGACCCCCCTCAGTGGCGCGCGGAGCGCGCCAGGGGCGGCGCCGGAGGCGCCGCCGGGGCGGAGGCGCCGCCGGGGGGCCCCAGCGCCGATCCGAGAAATCCGCGCGGACCTCCGAGTTTTCATGTCTATGCCACTTTTTGTTCCCCTAGAGACAAAACGCAGAAACGTCGTGTCGATCTCGGTCACCATCCGTCGTGGTCACCGTCAATTCGTAGATCATCCTCCAAGGCTGGCGACGGCCGGCCAGCACCATGACCAAGATCGGCGTCGGCGAGATCCCGCCACAGATTGGTCACGGTCGGTGTTCTGTGGCAACTCTTGGGGGCCCCTGGTGTCATCTTGCTGGCCCTTGCGAATTCGACGCTGATCGATGCTCGTCGGCGCTAACCGGCGCCAGTCAACGCTAAATTGGCGCCAAGCGACGCTCAATCGGCACTTTCTCTTCGATTACCACGCGGTAGCACGCGCGATTGCACCTCAAAGGCTGAGCATCGAGAACATCGTCGTGGGAGCCTCGCCCGAGCGAGGCTCCCAAACAATTACAGTCGAGGAGGCCGATTGAACAGGGCACGCGGGAGGGCACGAGATCCTTCCGAGGACCACATGGCCACAATAATGCAGGAGGTACAATCAAAAACCCTAATAAGGACGCGCGGTAAGGAAGCAGGACCCTTGGAAGCCGAAGTTGGGATTTGTTGGGCGGCGGACGACGAACACCTCAAGGACGCAAGAGCAAGGAAGAGCAAGGACGCAAGGGTACCCTGAGCAAAGTCGCGCGTCCTTATTTGGGCTTTTGACTGTAATGCAGGAAGTATGGGTCGCGAACCACAGGATACACGGGTAGCGTTGATTCGGCAGGGCTGGCCTACGAATCGGTGTGGAACATCAATGTGTGTGCGCGCCGCCATGGGAAGCCAGCGCCGATACACGAAACCCGCGCGGAGCTCCGAAAGGCAATGCGTACTGTATGTGATGGATTGCTCCTCTCGACCAGGATGGGATTGAGGAGGAGGAGGAGGAGGAGGAGGAGGAAGAGGAGGAAGAGGACCTGGCAAGGCCAAGCGTAATTTCTCGGCCTGATGGCCCAAGTCGGCAGTCGCTACTTTCACACGAGCGTTGCAGCCACGATGCTCAAGCTCGCCCAACGCAAAAAAAACATCTGGCAGGGCGTCGAGGACGACATGCGAGCCTCCGCCCACCCATCCCCTGGGACGTGCCCTTTCCTGCAATCTGTTGTGCCCTTTTCTGTTGCTCTTCGATGAAGGGGCCCCAGGACACACAAAGAAATACACACACATAAAAGTATTCCCCATAGTTTCTCATAGGTTCTGGGTTTTTGTCTTCCCCCCCCGTTCCCATAGTTTCCCATATGTTCCTGGAAATCGACGATTCATTGTGCCTGCGTGTTTTTTTCCTCTCCTGATTCGAGCGGGGCTGGCGGGCTCGCCGCGGACGCGGCGAAGGGGTCCACGTGGAAGCGCGCGCCCGAGCCCGCGGGCCCGACGGTGAGGTACCGCCGCTCCAGCCCGTCCAGCAGGCCCGCGGGGGCGCGGCCCGAGGGCTCCTCGGCGGCGGAGAGCAGGTCCTCGAGGGATCGAGAGCATCGAGGATCGAGGTCGAAGATCGAGGATCGAGAGCATGTCCTTTGCTCTCGAAGATCGAGGATCGAGGATCGAGGATCGAGGATTGGGGCGACCCCCCGCCCTTTGCTCGAGGATCGGGGGTCGAGGGTCGAGGGTCGGGAGCAGGTCCTCGAGAGTCGAAAGTTTTCCTCCTTCCTCCTGCCTGCCTGGGTTGCCGCAGGAGCTGCCTGGAGCATGACAGGATCGGGGATCAATCCTCCACCCAAGATCGATGGTCGAGGATCGGGGTTTCTGCTTGTTTTTTTCTACCAACAGAGCCCACCGAGGAAGCAAGCCTGAACTCCCTGAGCTTGTCCCTTGCAGCTGCGGCATGTGTGGCAGTGAGAGCGTGAAACTAGAGGGAGGGGAAGGAGGAGGAGGAGGATCGAGGATCGAGAGAATGTCCTCAATAATCGAGGGCCGAGGATCGATCCTCCTCCTCCTCCTCCTCCTCCTCCTCCTCCTCCTCCTCCTACTTGGATCACCACAGGGGCTGGTAGGCGCAAAGGGGGTTATAAGTGGACATTCAGGCGGGTTACGGTAAAGACATAAAAAGAACCCTTGGATAAATAACTCAGGGTCTGGAAGCCGGTGAAACTCCTATAGCCCCACCAGCCATCTGGGCGTAGGTGGTCTAACGAAATATTTCTTTCCTCTTCCAGAGAAAACCCTCGTCCCTTCGGGAAGGGGTACCCTCCCCCATCCCCTCCCTGAGTTTTTTCCGGCGGTGGTCGCGAAGTGTCACGGGGTCCGCTTTCGCTCAAGATGGCTTCAAGGAGGCCTCCTGTGCTCCAAGATGGCTTCCAAGGTGCCTCAAGACAGCCGAAGATGGTTCAAAACAGCTTCCGACATGCCTCAAAGGAGCCCCACGAGGGCCACAAAACGGTCCCAACTGTTTTTGGAGAGCCCGCAGGACCTTTCCAAGATCCGGAAATCCTTCAAACACATAAGGAAAACTGGTGTATGTTACCTTCTCGCCGTTTCTCATTCGATGCGCGTTTGAGGTCTCAAGATGGCCCCAACATTGGTAAACAACAAACCCCACGAGGACCCCAGGAGGCCCCCAAGACGGCCCCGAGAGCTCCCAAGATCACTCCAAGAGGGCTCCAAGAAACGGTTCTGAGGGCCCCAGAGGGGGGCCTAGACCGGACCTCCCCTCCTTTGATCGATAGCCTCGAAGATGGCCCCAAGAGGCGCTCGAGGGCTCCCAAGAGAGCCCCAAGAGAGCCCCAAGAGGTCCCCAGAAGGTCTCCAAGACGGTCCCCGGAGGGCCCCAAGACGGCCCCAAGAGGGCGCCACAACCCCCAAAAAAACCCGAAGATGGTTGCACGATGCGATTTCGAAATCTCCTGAAGGGGGGGGGGACATCGAGGATCCCTCCTCGTTTGACCCTATCCAGCCCTCCCTCTTCCCCTTTCGGAGCGGGGTTTACCCTTCCCACTTACCTCCTCCCCTGGACTTGGAACGACGATTTAAAACACTCTAGAGGGGCAGCGTCGGTTAGGTACCCGCCTTGCGATCTCCTCCGGGATAACTCCAAGAGCGCTCCAAAAGTCCTCAAAAGTGCCCCACGAGGTGCCGAAGAAGCGCCAAGGATTCCCCACTTGCATGCTACCCCACTTCGCTGATCAGGGCAACTCGTCTGGGCGTCGTCTCTGGATGGACTGGCGGGGATACTTTTTTGATCGCGACCGCACCGACAGCAGCCGGGCGGCGCCCGAGGGCGCAACGAACGAGCGGCGGCCAAACATTGCGCGCAGCGGGCAAGGGAAAGAACACTTTTTTTGATCCGCGGGTCGCGAGCGCACCTCTTCCAGTCGAAGCTAAGCTGGACGCGCGAAGCTTGAATTCATCAGAGATGGGGGGGGGAAAGGGGGGCGCAGCCTCAGAACGAGGCCGGGAGGAGGCAAAGCCTCGGAATCAGGCGGTGCCGAAGCCAGCGTACTTGCAAAGGAGCGTCTGAAAAAGAAAGTACACAAGAGGAAGGGCAAGCGGGGGAGAGGAACAGACAGGAGGCGGGCCTCGCTGTCGCTCAGAGGAGGGCGCCATCGACCAGGAAGACCTCCCAGGCGAGCTGCACCACCAAAAATGGCAGGAATTCTGGCTGAACAACACCTCGAGCGTGCAGAGGGTGGAGACCACTGGAAGAACTCACCAAGCACTCCAGCGCCATGACCAATGGTAAAAGGCTGGTGGTGAGACTTTTTTCGGTCGCGGCCGCGGGCGAAGAGCGCGCGCGGCGAACAGGGTGTCCGGGCCAGCTGGTGGGGAGACGCGAAGCGTTAAGAATTGAGGATTGGCCATGGGGATCCCCGCCACCCAAATCAGATAAGGAATCCTCACCGTATAAAGCTCTTACCAGTGAAGCGCACGGCGAAACGCCAAGCTTCCAAAGATCAAGATTGAAGCGTCAGACTCGGGCTTGAGCTTGAGCTTCAGCTTCTTCTGCATTGTGTTTGCGATGTAGCTTCGTCGCTCGAGCTTGAGCTTATAAATCTCGCGTGCGAGACGAACGTGGTTATGGCAGGTCCAGGGGGGTGCGAAGCGCGAAGGGTCAACCACGGCCACGACAGGTCAACATGCATGTTGCATTGGATGTGTTTTGCATTGCCAAGTTTGTGCATTGCATTGTGTTGTGCGCTGTGGTTTCGCTGCTGCAGCTTGAGCTTGGGATTTCGCGTGCGAGCCGAACGCGGTTTGGAGATGTCCAGGGGGGTGCGAAACGCGCGATACCAACCACGGCCACGACGACACAATTACAACTGTAACGTTTTTAGCTGTGTAGCGCACGGCGAGACGCCAAGGGTTCGATTGAGAAAGCTTGAAGCTTCAGACTAGAGCTCGAGCTTGAGATTCAGTTTTGCCTGCATTGCATGTTTGGTGCAGTAACTTCGCTTCTGGAGCTTGAGCTTCGGATTTCGCGTTCGAGCCAGACGCGGTTTGGGGCCGTCCAGGGGGGTGCGAAGCGCGCAGTGTCAATAACGGTCACGACGACAGAGACACTTTGGTTTGCACATCGGTTGTATCTGCATTGCAGGTTTTCTGCATTGCAATGTTTCAGGGCGCTGGAGTTTCGCTGCTAAAGCTCGAGTTTGGGATTTCGCGTGCGAACCGAACTTGGTGTGGGAAGGTCCAAGGATGCACGAACCGCGCAATGTCAACCAAAACGACTACGACAGAAGCCGTGCTTTGTATTCAAGTTGGTTCTTCATTGTATGCTTTGTGACGCTTTCGAATTGCTGCTGGAAATCGAAATTCGCTTTCGAGCAAAAGGCGAATTGGGGAGGTCAAGGAGGTGCGAAGAGTGCAGTGTCAGCCACCACGGGCCCACAAGAAGCGCCCAAGAGCTCTTCAAGATGTCCCGCACAAGCGTCCCCGATCGAGATGCCGCGGCATCTCGTTAGCGGGCATTTGAGGCCCCAGAGATGGCCCCTAGAGCCTCCCAGAGACGCTGAAGAGGTCTTCGGCAAGCTGTCACGAGAACTCAAGACGCCACCAGAGGCCCGAAGAGGCCCGCAAGAGCTTTCTAAGAAGCCCCAAACATGTCCACGAGCGAGATGCCGCGGCATCTCGCTCACGGACACTTCCTGAGACCGCCACGATACCTCTCGGCGCCTCCAAAAGGTTCCCACAAAGCCCCCACACGCTGCCGAAGGGGGCCCGAGAGGCCACCGACAAAAATCCCCACGAGGTCCCTGACAGGCTCCGAAAGGGGTCCCAAGAGACCACCAAAAAGCTTCCAAGAGACGGCCAAACAGCGTCTGACTGGTCGAGTAGTTCATCTGGTAGGTCTGGTCCAGTCTGGCTGGTCCGGCTTGCCTTGTTGGTTGATTGGCGAGCTGGCTGGTTCAGCTAGTTACTGGACCCTGTCTGCTTACTGGTGAGCTGGCTGGTTCAGCTAGTTTTTTTTCTGGCTTTCCTGGGTCTGCCTGCTGCGCAGGATTTGGACAGGGAAGAGGGGAAGCAACAGGAGCAGCAGCAGGGGCAACATCAGCGCGGGAGGGAGAGACACCTGGTCTGCTTACTGGTGAGCTGGCTGGTTCAGCTAGTTGTTTCTATCTTTCCTGGGTCTGCCTGCTGCGCAGGATCTGGACAGGGAAGAGGGGAAAGCAGCAGGAGCAGCCGCAGGGGCAGCAGCAGCGCGGGAGGGAGAGACACCCGAGGAGGACCCGGGGGGAGGAGTGAGAGCGGAAAGGTCGCTCCAGCAGCCATCTCAGTTCGTAGGCCCCAGAGCAAATCGGGCGCTGGGGCCCAAGAGCTTCTCGCTTCTAGCGTCTTATAACGAGCGGGTTACAGATGCCCTAAGTGGCTTGGGGGGTAGAGATCAGCCTTGGGCGCTGGGGCCTAAGAGCTTCTCGCTTCTAGCGTCTTATAGTGAGCGGGTTACAGATGCCCCAAGTGGCTTGGGGGGTAGAGACCAAGGGGCCCAATGACACACAAATAAATACACACAAATAAAGGTATCCCCCATATTTTCATATATTTTCTGGGTTTCTGTCTTCCCGCCCACTTCCCATATTTCCCCATATTTTCTGGGAAATCGAGGATTAATTGTGTGTGTGTGTGTGTGTGTTTCTTTTCCTCCTGGAGAGACCCAGGCTGAGCGCGCTCCAGCCACTCAGCGGAATCAGCCAAGCACCGCCCCCCGGGGCCAGCCAGGACACCTGCAGCCCATTGATGCGCCGGGGCTGCGCCAGTCCTCTCGAGGCTCGGAGATTGATCCTCCTCGATCTGGTGATGGAGGCTTCGGGTGGTGCACAGACAGCCCCAGAAGCTGGCGAGCCCTCGCTGCCCTCAGCAGGCTCCCCGAGCAGCTCGGGGCGGTCTCAACACCCGGCGGCGCCCCTGGGAAATTCCGCGTCCAAGGGGTGGGGTGTTGACTGAAGGGGCCCACAACACACACAAATAAATACACACAAATAACCGGATTCCCAGTATTCCCCATATTTTCTGGGTTTTTGTCTTCCCCCCCACTTCCCATATTTTCCCATATTTTCTGGGGAATCGACGATTAGTTGTGTCTGTGTGTTTTTTCACCTCCGGAAAGGGGTGGGGTGTTGAGATCGACCTGGACTGCTCCGAGAGCCTGTCGAGGCCAGCTGGGGCTGCATCTGGGTGAGCTGCCCGTGCCAAACCCAACGCCCTGCCAGAGTGTCCTCCGCGACCCTCTGACAAGGGGCTTGGCGCAGCAAATCCCCAACTTTGGGCTTCTCGACTGGACTAGAGATTGTGGGCCCAATTCTGGGATGCACGATGGGGGGCGCTCATTCACGATATGGGGTGCGATCGGATAGCCCCATGAAGGTGTATCCTCAAATGTTTCCCTTTATTGTGAGGAACATGATTTTTCAGGGGCACCTCGGGGATTGGGGGCCTTGCCTTGCCAGATCCTCCTCCTCCTGCTCCTCCTCCTCCTCCTGCTCCTCCTCCTCCTCCTTCTTCTCCTCCTCTTTGGTCCTCGATCCTCCTCGAGAGGAACAAACCATGACAGAAACATTGACTTTCGAAGGTCTGCGCGGATTTCTTGGATCGGCGCTGAGCCCACTTGGCGGCGCCTCTGGCGCCGCCCCTGGCGCGCCCTGCGCGCCGGTGATGGGGAGCCCATCGCCGATCCGAGAAACTCGCGCGGACCTCCGAGGAGGCATGCGTCTGCCGCTGTTGCCAGGCGCACGCTAACAGATTAGGTGGATCTGGTGCGCTCTCCCTCCCTCGCCCTCCTTCTCCCTCCCTCGCCCTCCCTCTCCCTCCCTCTCCCTCCCTCGCCCTCCCTCTCGCTCCCTGATCCATGGATCTGGGAAGGCACCTCCGAGGAATGGCGCCGGTGCCGCCCGACTTGGTGGCGGAGCGCGCCCACTCTGCGTGTTGACGAGACCCGTCGCTAATCCGCGCGCCTGAGTGAATGCTGCGCTTCCTCGATATGTGATCAATCCTCCTGCTCCATCGCCCCCCCTTCTGAGAAAGACAGTTCTCGTGTTAGGAGGAAGGGATTGGGACGATACAGAGCACGACTGTGCAATGAGCACCTTCAACATACGCGGCGATGTTGACGATACCGATACCGCTACTCCCCGAAACTCGCCCGGGGTGCGTTCTGACCAGGATTTCGAGGCGAATCCAGCGGTGGCGACGAGGGCCGCCCAGGAGCTCCAGGAGGCGCAACAAAAAGGGGAAAACGAGGGAAGGGTAAAGGAATGGGCACCCATTCCTCCTCGAAGTCATTTCTCCCGGCCCCGTCCTCCCAACCCGATAAAACTGCCTCTCTGCCCCTCGGTCCTCGACGTGGGAGGGCGTGCTCGCCATGGCCAGGCGTGGGGCTGCCGCACGAGCGGCCGCCGTGGCCAGCGCCCGGGCTGCCCCATCGGCCGGCCCGAATGCCCCCGAGGGGTCCCCGGACGGTCCACCGTGCTCTCCCGGGGGCGGCCTCCCCAAGCCCCAGACCTCCGACGCGTCGGAGGTGCGAGCCTCGAGAGGTCCTTGGGCGCTCGCGCCAGTTCTCGGCGGCTGACCTGCCTCGGACTCGGGATGCCTTCCAGCAGCTGCGCCTCGCCTTGCCGTCGCTCGGACGTCGCTTTCCCGTGTATTTTTCGGTTTCGTGCGTGGTTTTTTCGCGAAATGAGCAAGGATGTTCCTCGATGGTCCTCGCCGAAGGAAAATGCACACGTCCGAGCGATGCCAAGTCGCCGAGGGCCTTCCGGGGGGGGAGGGGGGAGGCCCAGAGCCCAGGCCGCCCCGAGGGGCCGCAGGAGAGCCGAGCCTGGACTTAAGTCGGGCCTGTCCCTCTACAGGGGGGATATTCAAAAATAGTGTATAAAAAAATCCGGGACCATTTTTTTTTGTACCATTTTGGAATATTTTTGAATATTTGAAATATTTCGTCGAAAATCCCCCTGTAGGGAGACACGCCCGACTGAAGCCTGGGCCAGAGCCCAGGACGAAAATGCGCATCGGCGCGCGCACGAAGTCGGAGTTTGCAGCAGCGGTCGGCCTCGGGGGGCCCTTGCCGGCGGACGGGGCAAAGGGGGCGGGGCTTCCGAGGGCCGCGCGTCGCGCACAAAACCAAAAAAAACACAAGGCGTCGGCGGTCCGGGTACAGAGCGTCCAAAAGGGTGCCGGAGGCGCCCGCGCGGGGGCGTGGAGACCCCCCCAGGCTGCCTTGTCGGCCTGTCGAGGACAGCCCGGGCTGCAGGTAGACTCAGGCAGGAAGAGGGAGCACAAGGATTCAGGGCGTCACGGGCGCGCAGAGTCGGGGGCGCCTCGGACCGCGGAAGCAGAGACCACAAGAACCAGGTACGCGAACCGAGGGATACCAAAGTTTCTTTCCTCAGAATGCCATCCGCATGCCCTGTTTTGACTGTATATACCTCCGGGGGCTGCTTGTGCGCAGCCCCATCCCTCGCCAGCTCGCAAGGCACGAGTGGAACAGCGCTGCCGCCAGCTCCCCGGAGTCGAAGAGGTACAGCGGATCATCCGCGTCCCTGTGCCTGCGGAGGTACGTGCAGTACGAGCGCAGTGTCATCGTCACCGTCTTCCCGAGCGGCGTCACGACGCCCAGAGGCCGCCTGGCGTGGCCTCCCGTGGCCTCCTCCGGGGTGGCAAAAGCATGTGCCGATACCGCTGCTCGCCAGGCCTCTCCTGGGGCGCACTCTGGCCAGCACCCTGCGGAGCATCAGCCGTGGCGACGGGCAGCGGCATTGGTACCTCCTCCCTCCTCCTCCTCCTCCTCCTCCTCCTCCTCCTCCTCCTCCTCCTCCTCCTCCTCCTCCTCCTCCTCCTCCTCCTCCTCCTCCTCCTCCTCCCTCCTCCTCGGCGGCAACTGATGGGAGCATCCCATGCCATCTTGCTGGCTCCTGGCAACCAACGCTACCCAACGCTACTCGGCGCTGATCTACGCTGGTCGACTCCAATTAACGCTGAATAGACGCTAGGTCGACGCCGATCGACGTCAGCCGACGCTGAATCAGAGCTTTCTCATCGAGAACCAGACGCTGGCGCACGCTGTAAAGATTGAATTCTGGTATGGAGCAAACGGGTCCTAGGGGAAATGGGTCCTGTACTCCCTGGGCCTTCCCCCAAGACCAAGCCGCCATCCTGCGTCACTTCCTGACAGCCCCGGGGCCCAAGGAGGGCCCCTGGGAGCCCAAGACTGCGACAAATCTCGGGACCTGCTTCCCTCAGGACCTGCTTCCCTCCTGGCGAGGACATATGAGGCCACGCGAGGCTCCCATGATTTGCCATCGACCCGCACGGGTCCTCGATGCGCCGCCGCAGGGGGCCCCTCCGCCAGGAGCCCGGCCAGCCCCGCACGCGGAAGTGCCCGGCTCCCGCGGAGGTGCCCGCGATCGCCCCGCGGCCCAGCAGGTCGGGGGGTGCCAG